TATTGAGATTGCATTCAACACTGCCGAAATGAAACAGAAAATAAAACTAGTGATATGCCAGAAGAATTAAGCACATGAGGGACAGGATAAAGTACATATTTTTATGGAATACAAAACTTTTGCCACTAGATTCAACATACAGAACTAAGTAGCTTTTTTTTGTTCTTGAAACTTGTGAAGACCTCTGCATATCTTATCCTACATTGCAGAATGATAACTGGTGTAATTTTTCACCTCTGTTCACAAGTGAAAAAAGTTTATGAGAAGTTTTTAACTAGATAAAAAGATGAAACTGTAATCTATGAAGCTACTTAATTTTTGTTTAAATGAAAACTTTAATTTTCTCATATTCTACAGTTTATTAAGATTCATCTAGGTGATAGACTTTTTTCTTCAACAGATGATAAAGAAAAGAAAGTCTTCTCAGAAGGGACAGGTTTTTTAAGAAACCAATGAAAGTTTCTTAAGGAAGGAAGAATCTGAGTGTATTGGTAGTTTAAGAATGAATACAATCCAGCAATGTGCACATGCAGGCCATAAAGCAAACTGCACCCTAGGCTGCCCCAGAAGTGTGTCTAGGAGGATGAGAAGTGGTTCTGTCCCTCTGCTCTAGTGAGACTCCACCTGCAGTGCTGCATCCACCTCTGGGGCTCTCAGGACAGAAGAAACATGGACCTGCTGGAGAGGACCCAGAGTAGGACCACAGAGATGACCGGTGACTGGAGCTCCTGTCCTATGAAGACAGGCTGAGAGAATTGGCATTGCTTATTCTGGAGACAGGAAAGCTTCTTAAGGATCTCAGAGCAGACTTTCATCACTTAAAAGGGGCCTATAGGAAAGACTGGGACAGACTTTTTATCAGGCAGGGTAGTGACTGGACAAGGGATGAGGTTTTTAAACTGAAACAGGTAGATCTAGATTCAATATTAGGGGGAAGCCTTACTGTGATGGTGGTGAGACACTAGAAGAAGTTAACCAGAGAAATTGTGGATGATCTATACTTGGAACTGTTCAAAGCCAGATTGAATAAGACAACCTGGTTTAGTGTTTCTGACAGAGGGGGTGGGTCTAGATGATCTTTAATTTGACTTCCAACTAAAACCATTCCATGATTCTATGAAGTCTACTGAGCCTTTAGAGTCTGAAGAATTCATAATCCAAATCAACAATCCTCTCCTCCATTTAAGCCAATATTTTCAGCTATGTATTCTTAAACTCAGGTTCTATATAGGCATTTGAAAGAAAAAGGTTTTATTTAAAAATTATTAAGTTTTCTTTTTTGTTGTTGATCAATATTTCTGGAGTAAAAGCAGTTGTTTTCAATAGAGGAAAATGAAATAACAAGTCTGTGTTCAGACAATAACTTTTGTAGATTTTGAATAAAATACCTGAGACTATGATTAATAAACAGAAATTTAACTCATGAGACATTAATTATCTACTGAAAAAGCTGAAGTGAAACTGGTTCCAATAAAAACTTCAATTGGAAGTTCTATACATGAAAGTTTCACCCTAGATTTACAAGGAGGAAATTCTAAATCCTTTTCTATGTTTTGAAAGACTTAAACATTTCATAGAATCAAAGAATCATTCAGATAGGAAGGGATCTCAGAAGGACAAACAGTGCAAACTCCTGCTTGAAGAACAGTTGTTTTTAAGATAGGTCCTCTTTACTTCCATAAAATGCACAGTTTGGCATGGCCATCTCTGTTTCCATGTGCTTCCTGGACAGGCTGCTACAACATCTGCTACCTGCTACAACTGAAAGCTGGAAGGAGAATTCAACTAGCCTACTAAAAAGTTGTAACAATCTCTGAAGCAGGTGATAAAACCAATTTAAGCAGCCTTTTCCATTGTTTATAAGAGTTGCTATTAATTTAGAGGTGAAATGTAAAGCTTTGGATGCTGATTACAAAGACTAAACAGCTGACGCTCATGTTCTCTTATGAAAACATGTTTATGTTCCTGTGAATTATGTTATGGTTTGGAAGAGTTTGTATGACACTAATTAATAAATAGAGAAAATGGAGGCTAAATGCTCATAGCAGTTTCTGGAAAGAAAAAGGGCATAGGAACCTGTTTGTTATTGTTCAGTGATACTTATAGAAATAGCAGATGACTGACATCCATGGAGATTGTCTATGCTGTGTAGATATAAAAGATACAAATATTTGCAAATTAAACATCTATCAGACCTACTTGGAGAATAGAACTCCCTGGCATTCACTGATAAGTCGAAAGCATTAGAAGAGGCTTAAAAAAAATACCTGGAGAAAGCTCAAAAGGAAGCACATAGATTTGCTTTCAAATCTTCTGCAGCAGAAAAGCTGAAGTTAAAGGGACAGAATGTTCAGATAGTGATTTCCATTAGTAAGGAGAATTGCTAGGCCAGAGACAGTCTCTCTGTGTCCTGTGCCTTTCCAGAAGACAGAAAGTGCTGAAGTTCAAGTAGTCAGCAAAGGCTTTACCTACTGCCTTTCTTCATTGACTCTAAACTCAGAAACTTTCTTTCTTAGCTCCCTTCCCTAGGGTGAGTGTTGATAAAGCAGCCCAAGACAGAGAAATTCCAACAGAGAAATGAGAGCTGCATGCTCATACAGAGTGGCTTTGCAAGATTTCAACCACTGGTATCTTTATTCATGGGGAGAAAACTACATCTTCTTTTTGACTGAAACATTTTCACAGTTCCTAAATGAAGGTCAAACTTTTTATTTCAGATAACTTTAAATTTTTTCCAATCTGCAATGTAATATTTTGTGTGCCAGTGTTCTTGGGCAAGAGGCTAAGACAGGAAGAACCATGTAAAATCTTGCATAAAAGAAGAAATTACAAATAATATGACTTATTTAAAAAACCCTCAAAATAGCTAGTATTAAAAATTTTACTAATGATTTTAATAAAATTCTCATATTTGTGCTCTCAAGAAAATAAGAACACTGGAGCTCTAAATCGCAGCAACCTCTTAGAAAATATTATTCTCCTAAATTTTGAAATCAAGGTATTGTATCTTTCACTAAGGTACAGTATACTCTGACACTGAAGGAAAGATTCATTTGCTCCAAATTCTACCTAAGACCTAAGCTAACAATTTCATCTCTTGGTAAAAATAATGGATTTTAGGTTTGAGTCAATTTTAGATTGAGTCAATATTTAGTGTATTAATTTATCATGAACAGATTTGCCTCATTAAAAGAGAATTTAAACAATTCATTGTGGTTAAAATTGTTTAACATATGCACATGCATATCCCCAAATATTTGACATTGTATTATACACCTGTATGCATACAAGTAATATATTTATATTTTAAGATGCAAAGCTAGTATACACTGTAGTTTAGTCTGTCTTAATTTCATTAGCAGTGACTGCATTCACTAATCCATCCCTCCAGAATTTAATTGAACTTAACATTTTAAACCAACAAACCCCAAACCAAACTTTCAAAAAAGAGGAAAAAAAAAAATAAAAAATTAAAAAAAAACCAGCAACAAGTAAAGAAACAACCAAAGCAAACCAATCAACCAATCAAAAAACAAGCCCCCAAAATAAAATAAAAACAACCTCAACATTTTCTGAAGAAATAGTGTGGACAACAAGATATATCATCTTCAGACACAAGAGAGTAATTATTTAGGCATTGCACTAAAGAGCTCTGTAATCTGGTTTCTCAGGATCTTACTGACTTACCTAGAAAACTAGCTTAATTTCATTTCAAAAGGGGAAGAACACTTTTTATTGCAATACAGAACACTCATGTCCCACTGGATTAAGAAATATTGGCATAAAATCCAATATTTTATCAGCAGAAAATCCACTCAAAATATAGATAATTCTCAGATTTTTCTCTCTCTTTCAGTTATAATCATTTTCATGACTAATAATTGAGAAACTTTTAAACTTTATAACCTTATAAAATTGGGGGCTTTCTTTTTAGTATTTTCTTCTAAATTATCTAGAGTAATTCGTATGCAAAATTATCGCATACAGAAAAAAATAAATAGTAGTAAATATTAGAAATCATATAAATGGTTTATGCACAGTTTCATCCAACTAAAGCAGTCTGTTCCAAACTCATCCTGCTGAAAAACATCTTTATATAAGCATTCTGTGTATGTCACTGTATACAGAGTAAAATAATTGCACACAGTTACCAAACTATAGGAAATTGAACCTTACTAGTGCAGAAGGACAAAACAGTCTTTTCCCACATAGGATAGATGAGTATCTAAAATCTTTCCTCTACAGGATAGACAGACAAGACAAAATTTTACTAATGTTCATTCATTTCTTTCTTCATTCTTTTCTCATTCAATGCAATGGAAAATAACTTTAAATCCTGTATGATACATATGTCCTTTCAGAGCAAAATTTTTAAAATTAAAATTTGTATGGAAAATCAAAGAATAAAGAACTAGGGCAGAAACAGCTTGCAAATAGTTTTTGCATTACTCAAAGATTTTGAGTGAAACCATTAAAAAATAGGCAAAAAGATGCTCAAAAATAACATAAAATGAAATTGTAAAAAACTTCCCAAGTAAATTATCTTTTAAAGTTCTTACAGGCAATACTTTAAATTATCTAATTTAGGGTCTAAAAAAGATGTTACCTTTTTTCTTTTATTTATATACATAAATGTAGAGAACATTCAGTTAATCTGTTATTTTTAGTAACACTTAAGATTTACATAGGGTTCACCATTTAAGATTTAAATTTAGCAATGTTTAACTAAGACCTAGAGGTCTATTATCACTTTATACAGTAAAGAAAAGTTTATGAAGAAAAGACATTAGAGCATGGCATTGGAATTTATAAAACACTGTCTAAAAGAACTGCTGAGAAACATAGAACATGTAAGTACAAGGAAAAAAGAGTACCAGCAAGTTAATAAAGTTTAAAACAACATTTTCTTAAAGAACATGTTATGTTTACCCCTTCCAGCACTAAAGCTTTAAGACTTCTAAGTAGCTGCTGTGACTCTCTATTTCCAAGCAAAAACTCACTTGTTTGATGCGGTCTGGGTTAACAGTGGTCTGAGGCTGTAGGATGCTGACAGGCTCTGTCTTGGCCACATTCTGAGGCATTTCTCGAATCTTCTCTGCGATGAAGCCATGAACTGCATTTAGTGCTTCGACTGTTCCCTGGATCAGACACACCCGCTCTGTAGTACCTGCAAATACCAAGAGTCATCTGAATGGTGTGGATTCTTCAAGGTCCCACAAACTGCTTCAATTAGGGCACAAAGATGTCACTGAAAAGCAATGCTGAAAAACCAATGAGCAATACCTCCCTAAAAGTACAAATGACAGATTTGTGAAAGAGAACATACTGATGATCTGAAGGTATTTGAAACAACTATCGGTATAGATTCCACAATCGCTAACTTTCTAAGTCAGCCTGGATAATATCAGTCAGAATACTCATAACCTTCTTCCAAAATGAATTTTTTCTGTTTGTGCTACAAAAAATCCACACCAGTTCTTATCTATCGATTCCTTATTTATAAACATCTACAGGATGGCTGAAGATGAATGCAGAATTGTGGAAAAATACTTACTTGATTTTTTTTTTTTTTGTGATGAGATTGGTTTTAGATGATTTTATATGGCTTTACTGTATAAAAAACAAGGGGTATTTTACATATTAGGTTACAGTTTGATACATCTTTACTAGACAAATATAAAACCTCCCAGTATCAATCCTAAGGGTAAGAGTATGATACTTCACTGAAATAATCCATGTTCTGTATTCCACATACTAAAACACTTAAATAGGTTCCAGAAAATCAGTTTTGTCTTGAAAAACCGGATCTTACAGAAGTTGGAAAAAAACTCCCCAAACCCCTCAAAACCAACTTAAAAAGGAATATTGTAGTTTCCAATTTCATTCTGCAGGAATACCAACATAGGACAACCTGCAAACTCAAGTAAAACTGCCTTAAAACTTCACATAATCCGTACTTTCAAAAACATATTCTTTACACTTCCAACATACACAGTTTTTTAATATTCATCACCTCACTCTTGTCTTCAAATACTGGTAGAACAGTTCTACTAACAGAAGATGATTATAAAATGAACTATCAAGATACTGGTGTATTCCTAAAAATATAGTAATACCATAATACTGATTTTATTGCAAATATATATCAATATATATATATATATATATTCACTGTCAGTGCATATTTTTCTCCAAGACTATGGAGAGAGGGAGCAAAATAACAAAACTGAGCCATGGAATTACCACAAAAATAAATAAAATAATATTTTTCATTTATATACTCCTAGTAAATACTTTTGATATAAGGTCACAAATTAATCTTTTCTCACATTCACTCTACCTAAGAAAATTAAAATGACAATGTAATGATGTGGCAAATACGAATACGTTTACAACAATTTCTGAAATTCACCATATGTTGGTTGGCCTCATTTCCATTGTACAACCTGCATGGAATCAGACAGATTAATGTACCAGAGAGGTATGAAACCTTCCCCATAAAATTCCCTTCCTATCAATTTTATGTTTATATAACCAGCTTTTATCATCTTAAGATACGCTCCTTACAAGAGTGCAACATAGACTTTAACAGAGAACAGTACGGTAACCTTAGGATTTTCCAGGAAAATAATTGGGTTTTATCAGTTGATGCTCTTCACCTGCTTCTGTGGATGATCTTCAATATTAAATACTTTATTACCTAAAGATGAAGAAGCACACTAAGAGCCTTGCCTGCTCTTAAGATAACATATTCACATATAGTTAAAATCTGATTTTTATCTTAAGTATCAGGCAATACTGAAATTCAACACTGGTAGAAACACTACAGCAAAAAAGAAAGAATAAGAAACACACTTTTTTTTTTTTCTTTTTTGGACTATCAAAAGATGTTATTTAAAAATAATTAAAATTAGAATTAAAACATGTCAACCAATATTTCAAAATATGTCAGATTATTAATCCTTAATATAAAATTAGAATGTTCACACTCTTGACTGCAAGTTATGTCTCCCAATCAAATGCATATTTCTCAAGAGGAAGCTTTTAAAATTATTTTTGTGACCTCTTACAGCATCTTTTCAACAAATCAGCTTCAAAATATTGAAGCCAAAAAAAACCCAACTAATTTTCTTTCCCAAATGCTCTCTCAAAAAAGGGAGTTTGACTGACACGAGTGAAAGTCACCACAGCAAATGAAACTTGTTCCTAGACAAAGCTTTCTTAGTGCCTTTTTCCTTTTTTCTACTTGGCTCCATCCCCTTTTGCAAACATGGCCTGTGGTTTGTGTGTAAAGCAATCCAGCTCCGAGGAAATGCTCTGGGGAGCCTTTACAAGGTTGTATTAATTGTCTCCTAAACGATGAGATGCGAGGCGGGCTGATCAATGCAGCTAATGCAAGTGTCGTGCGGCTCTGCAGACAACGCGGGCAAACAGAGCGCGGCTCGGGTTACGGGCCAGCCACCAGCTCCAGAGAGCGCTCGGCAGGGACGGCTCCTGGAGCGCACGGCATGGGAAACACTCCGCGCTGAACAGGAATTTCGGTGCACTTGACGCCAAGTGACTAAAGGCTGTTTTGCCATCTGTGTTGCTTTAGAAGGTGCTGCATAATAAAATTGTGCTGTATGCAATACTTCAGACCGAACATGCTACGTTTCAGTATGGATGCAGCAGCAGAAATCACTGTCCCATGAAAAAATAATATTGTGCAAAAACACATCTCATGCAGAGTTAAAGGCTGAAATTGCACATTTGCTTTGATAGTCATGGACGCAAAAAATGTAAAAGTTGAAAAATGTGGAGAAATTGTACACCTATACAGTTTTGAATTGTCTTAATCTTTTTGAAAAAATGTTGTCATATTCCTTCTCACTCAGATACCAGAATACAATAATTTACAAGAATTATCCTGCCAGCTATATGACCAACCTGTATAGTAAAAATAAACCTACAAATCACTAACACTGGTGAAATTTCTGTCATTTTAAGAGCTTTTAGGCTCTGTAGTGTATGAATTAAAGTGTCAGACTGTTTATAATTTTCAGTTAGCAGTTTTATCCAATTCTTTTTTCACATTTCTGTGAACAAAAGCTCAGCCATGTATATATATACTTTTTGTCATATGATTTTCAAAATATGTATTTAAAATACAGACCTATTTTTTGAAATAGCTGGCAAAGAAAATCAAACTACCAAAACTCACTACCCTTATTTATGTTGTGTAAACATACACAGTATCAAATTATTCTCTTTTAAAAAATTATTTACAACTGAATTATGTGCTAGGGTCATGTATTGTACACTGCCTTTAATATATGAAGATACAAAACATACACAAGAGAAGAATAATTTTGACACATATAATGGCTAAGTGTAGAGCAAGTGATCTTCATTCCTACATGTTAAATAAACCCAGAAAAATGCTTTTATATACGTTCAATAATAACAAAATCCATAATAGAAATTTGCATGTGGCTATAAATTGGAAAAAAAAATTCCAAAACCATGCTGCTGATGTTTCTACAATCACTTGTTTTGTTTTGTTTTTTCCTAAGAGATTCAAATTACTTTTCAGCAAGGGCAGTGTTGTTTCTTTCCCCTCATATCCAAATTCAATTCACATGTGTGGGTTTTAACGTTTTCTTATCAAATAAGAGGCAGAATCTAACTGCACAAAAATACCCTGCCTGTTCACTCACCAAAAAAATTTATTTGCAAAACCATCAGATAGAAAAGGAAGCTTTTATCTGTTTTTATTTAGTTTATTTTGTTTAGTTTAGAGGGGGGAATTTTGGGCCCTTTTTTTTACACATCATTATATAGAATATTTCTTTTTTCTCTACAGTTCCATGGGAGAGAGGAAAGTGATACCATTTCCAGACATCATACAATTTATAGGAAAATAGACAAAAGACTCTTTTGATATCTAGCAAATTAGGACTAAAGCATAAACAGGCTTGCAATAAGTTTAAGAACTCACTTTTCCTCATGTAACTATCTAAAATTTTACTTCTGGCAAATATCCTTGGACACCACACTATTTTTTTCAAGAACTTCCAAACAACAGACCATATTTTTTTCTCTGATAATGTTATTTACTTATTGGAGAACTGGTACAGCTTTTAAAGCAACCATTAGAATAAATGGCAGGACATGCAACAGGATAAATGATCCTGATGCTTTTGATGTTTGCATTTCTGTACTTAACTGGAACACATCTATACATGGTTGCTACTAAAATTTAAAATGCTTACTTAAAGACTCTGATTCAGTGTGTAGGAGTTTCACAGAAATGCTCACTAAATGTTAAATGTGTTCCTGTGTCTTTGGAGAATAAGAAGCATTTCTCAGCTGAAATGTTTTGGGGAATGCATGGTACCTTTCAGAAATCTCAAGCATCTATGTAACTCTATAAACTTTACACTGGGCTTTTACATCAATCTTTAAGTGTATTTCAAAACCTAAAAAGCACAATGCAATAGCAGCCCGGGGTAATCCCAATACATCCACTAATTAAATCTCCTTGTACTTTTCCAGTATACCATGCCAATTTCTTTCATACTAAAAGGGAGAACCTGTGAGAGAAGCCAAAGCTAAAATCTTAACTAAGTGAAAGCTGCACTACAGTCTCTCATCTGCTCATTTACATTAAGCTTTTTGTTTGACAATTCCCAGCACAGCACTCTACTAAACCAAATATCCCATACATGCATTTTTGTGACCCATGATCAACTGGCTGTTAGAGTAGGATTCTATAGCACACCACAGAGACTCACTCAGCCAAAAACTTATCTTGCAAACCCCTTGGTAAAATAGGACTGTGCTTTGACACTATTCCCAAGCAAACTAAAAATTGTCAGTAACTTGCTTAACATGAAATTCTGACAAACTCTTTCTTGGATATAACACTTCCACTGCTCATTTGCATAAAGCCTCAGAAAATGAAAGTCATAAAATAAAAATGTTTTTTTATTCAAATGCATTAGAAGTATCTCATAAGGTCTTCAACAGATGTAAAAAAAACAAAAACAAAACAACAAACCTTTGTCACATAAATGATAAAATGGACAGTCTTAAATGCAACATATAAGAACATCCCACAGATATGTGAAGTGTTACAGAAATCTCAACTGGACAGTTTTGTTCTTCAGTTCCTATCTCTCTCCCCTA